CAACAGTGTTGGTGGTTGGCATCCCAACCCCTGCATTGTTGAAGGGTCAACTGTACATACCTTAATTAAAAAATAGTTTGTTGTTAAAAACTGTCATCTGAGCTTTTGGTGAATCATAATCACTAATCAAAATCACCGTTACAAATATAATAATAATGAAAAAGTTTGAAGTATTGTGAGAATTACGAAAATGTGACACAGAGACATGAAGTGAGCATATGCTGTTGGAAAAACAGCATCAATAGACTTGCTTGATGCAGGGTTGCCACAAACATTCAATTTGTAAAAGAAAAAAAGCCACACTATCTGCAAAGTGCAATAAAGTGAAGTGCAATAAAATGAGGGATGCCTGTAGTAGTTAGCAAAATAGTTGAAAATCCAAGCTTTCACAGATCTTTAGAAATGTTAGTGGTAAGTGTAGTTTATGTAATATGGAGGAAGTCAGAAATGGTAGAGTTTAGAATAACCAATTAGGATACACTGTTTAATGATCACATGTTTAAATAATTTTAAAAATTGGGGTAATGCACTTATGTTTAATGATAAAACTAAACATTAAGCGGGATTTATTCCAAGGATACAAGGGTGGTTCAGTATTTGCAAATCAATCACCATGATACATCGTGTAAAATAAAGACTATGAACATAATTTAATCTTTTATTTAGAGGAGACGTCTATTTTCATGAGTTTCTTTTGGTTGCAATGTAGAAAGACTTTCAGGCTGAGATTTTTATAAGGATACACTTGGGAATATAATATAGAGGAACTTCATGGAAATCCTAGAATTGGAACTGTGGAATGGATGGGCTTTCTAGAGACTAGAACCCAAAGTCTTCATATCCTAGTGTACTAGTTATCTATTGCTATGTAACATATTAGCCCCCAATTTAATGTCTTTATTTCACAGTTTCTATGGGTCAGGATTCTAAGCATGGCTCAGTTGGGTGCTTCTGGCTCGAGATTTCACACAAGGTTGTAATCAGTGTGTTGGCTGGGGCTTCTGTCATCTGAAGGCTTGACTGGGGAAGGATCTGCTTCTCAGACTGCTCACATAACTTTTGGCAGGCTTTAGGTAGTTGCTGTCTGTTGGCTGCACACATGAGTTCTTTGCTATGTGGGTCTTCCAGCTCACAGCATGGCAGCTGGCATCCCAGAGTGAGAGAAGGTGACAAGATGGAACCTAATCTCAGAAGTGATATCCCATCACCTCTCATGAATTCTGTTTGCTAGAAGCAGGTCAGCAAATCCAGTCCATACTTGAAAGGATTACACAAGGGCATGAATAACCAGGATATGGGAATTATTAAGACCATTTTATAAACTGCCTGTTGTACCAAGTAAACCCTAGAGATCTCACCAGAATTTTTGTGTGTTTTATTCTAGTTCTCTACCATAAATGCCCCTAAGGCAGTCTAAATGTACATTTTTTTCGCTACCAATTATAGTTCTTAACTATTAATCTTTATTTATTTATTTTTGCATCTTATTTTTAGTTTTCCCTTATATTTAGTTTATCTAGGGCCTGAGATGAACTCTGCTGCCTCATGGTATTTTACCTTCTGCCTCTGCTGTTAGTCATTTTGAATATGTCCCTTGTACCTTGTTCAAATTTTTGAGAGAGAGAAGGTGGGTAGGGAGGGGATATAGTATGTTTTGAATATACCTCCCTCATCTGTGAACACAGTTTAAGCAGTGTGGATATCTAAATACTATTGTAGATGTTTATTGAATAGAAGATAATAGAATATTTCTCATAAAATTAGAAAACTTTGAGATATACAGACTTTGAGGAGAGAATTATATGGAAATCTCTACTTTTTTTTAGACATTACACAGTAAAGTATAAAAAAGGCAAACATTTCTTTATAGTCAGTTCTATACCCATCATGGGGCTTGAACACACGATCTTGAGAGCAAGAGTTGCATGCTTTACTGATTGAGCCAGTGAGGCACCCCCAAACATCTATATTTTTATCACACAGAATTAATAACCATTAACATTTGTTCATTTTGCATTTAAGTCTTTTTCCCCCAGGTAATAAAGTTTGTAGTTGAAACTCAGCTCCTCTTAAACCATCACTCTTAGTTCTGTTTCAGGGAACTTACCTGATGTGCAACTACTGTTACAGATTTGGTGGGTATTTTTCTGGTTCATTTTTTATTCTTGTAAACACACACACACACATTTATGTGGTGTGGTCTTGTGTTTGTATTTTTTTCCCCCCAAATCAATACAGCTTTTATTGAATCTTTGAAATATCACAAATAAGTCTGAAAAATCATCTGGTATCTTGCTGTTTCTGTAGCTGGACAACTTAGATCTTATTCATCAGCCTGAATTGTTCCTTTTTCAGAAGCATAGAAAACATCCAAGAATTTTCTGATGTCTTTGTTTTTAACAATTGTAGCTTGCTGAATCAAAGCAGCTGAGTTTGATACAAGTTCAGTGTCACTGTCTTCAAGAATGAACTCATCTTTCTGGACTTGAGATACTGAACAAGGAACACCTGGCGTCATCCAAACCCTGAGGATATATTTTTCTCCCAAGAAATTTTCGATTTCGACAGGAGAACCATTCTTCTGAATAACAATATTGATGGGGAAGTGGGCATACACAGACTTCGTCTTGTGATGGAAGTTCAGTGTAATGCCCTTGGTCATGTTCTGTAGATGACTATAGATAGTGTGAACAGTTGCCAGTTCTTTTCTGTTTCCCCACCATTTGTCATCTTGGAACCTCTTCTTTTTCTTTCCGAGGAGATTGAGTTCTTTTTTTTTTTTAATTTTTAAAAGATTTTGTTTATTTGAGAGAGAACGAGCGGTGGGGAGGGACAAAGGGAGAGAGAGAGAGAGAGAAGCAGACTCCCTGCTGAGCAGGGAGCCTGATGGGGTGCTCGATCCTAGGACCTGGAGATCATGACCTGAGCCAAAGGCAGACACTTAACTGACTGAGCCAACCGGGCGCCCAGAGATTGAGTCCTACATTGATGCTCTGGGACCCTTCACAATAACAGTGCATCCCTTCAGAGTGATGTTGACATTTTCTGGAATGTTGATAGTCTGCTGAGAATGGTCTTCATTCTCACAGTAGATGGAGCAAAGAGAGCTTGTGTTTGTATTTTATTTATTTGGTAGCATACTGTACCATTAAAAAAAACCTTTATATTCTTTTTGAGGTTTGTCCGTATTTGTATATTTAGATTTAGGTCATTCTTTTTAACTGCTGTATAGTATTCCATCATGTTTTATTTTCCATTCTCTTATTGTTAGATATCTAGATTGCTTTGAAAGAATAGTTTGCTGTTACAATGCTTTCTTGTGCACCTATGACAAATACATTTTCTACATTATTGTCAAATTCCTGAATCAACTTATAGTCCAAATAGATGTGGGAAATCTTGTCATAAGTGATATTTCAGACTTAGAACATTCTTTTCTTTTTCAAAAAAGATTTTATTTATTTGAGAGGAGAGAGAGCGAGCATGAGTGGGGTGGAGAGGCAGAGGGAGAGGGAGAAGCAGACTCCTCACTGAGCAGGGAGTCCAATGCAGGGCTCGATCTCAGGACCCCGAAATCATGACCTGTGCCTAAGGCAGATGCTTAACCAACTGAGCCACCCAGGTGCCCCTAAAACATTATTTTCAATTTAGTGATTGGAAAACTGGTCTCTTGCTTTATTAATCTATAATTCCTTCATTACTAGTAAGATTGATTATATGTTTAATGATCTTTTGGATGTCATCTGTGAAGTGTCTGACCAGTTTTCTCATTTGTAGGAGTTCTTTATGTATTCTGGGTATGAATTCTTTTTTATTATATATATTGCCTAAGTCTTCTCCTAGTCTATAACTTGCTTTTAACCCTGTGTATTTTTTTTGTAACTGCATTAGAGCCTTTGTGCCTTTTATTCCTTTTATCATTCTTGCTAGTCTTTGTAAAGAATCTCCTTTTGGTTTTGTGTTTTCACATAAAAATGAAGGTTATAGAGTTACAGTTAGCACTTGGGACATACAGTATGGGAGTATGGCCATTTAAATGACTATTAACAATCATGTATTGAAACAAAAATTATGGAGTATCGTTCCAGAGTATCTTACAAAACTCCTAATTTTTAATGGTATAAAATTTTTTTTCACTATTTAGTCTTCATAATTTTCAGTGATAGAGGATTAACTTTTTCAATGAATCAGACTGTATGGTTTTACACTTTTTCTTTTGATAAGATACAATGAAATTTGTTTAATTATGGGATTTTTAGCAGTCATCTGTTACAGTCCCCACTATTTTCCAGGCAGGAGTAACAGCTTTTGTAATGATAACTTATGATTATCTGTTTGTGAAAAGGGAAAAAAATATTGCAGATACTTTTTCACGAAAAATTTTTGCACATTGAAGATTAAGCAAGTTTTCGCTATCATTTTTAATAGTTGTGAAATTATACTTTTTTGCTTGTAGTTCAGTTACATCTTCTGACATTATTTAGCATATTTTAGTTAATATTTATACTGTTCGGATTGTGAAATTTGAGAAATGGATGGAGGTTTTGAGCAGCTTATATTTTATAAAGATAAGTAGTTCTTACTTTGGCTGAAAGTATGGGATTGAGTCACATTTTCAAATATAATTCCCAGATTCCAGGTTGGAATTTTTTTCTTTTGCCTTTCACTAAACATTGTCAAAAAAAACCACAAAAAAACTTGAAGTGCAATTGAGGTACATTCACAAGTATTTGTCTAATACTTACTGGGCTAGGTAGTGTGCAACCTTAATTGGAGTTTTTGGTATTGGGCCCACAGTCAGAGTAAAGAATAGTTTAGTCTTTGTTGAATTCCTTATGAATTAAGAAAGAACAGAGATATTGTTAGGAGTTGGGAAATAAAGGAGGAGTTTGGTTCCATTCACATTTTAATCAGAAGCATTGAAAATGTTGCCCTTAGTAAAAGTGTAAGCATGAGCCTTTTTCCTAGATATTTGATCATTTATTTTTACATTATTTTAGGTTTCCAGTAATTATCTGCAGGATTCGCCATGACCCCAGCTCTGAGGGAGGCAGCAACAAAGGGTATCTGCTTTTCATCTTTACCAAGTACCATGGAGTCTGACAAGATGCTATGCATGGGAAGTCCAAGAACTGTAGATGAAAAGCTCAAGGGAGACACTTTGTCTCAGATGCTGGGATTTCCAACTCCTGAACCTACTCTTAACACTAACTTTGTGAATTTAAAACATTTTGGCTCCTCTCAGTCTTCAAAACATTATCAGACAGTTCTTTTAATGAGTTCTAATTCTACATTAAATAAATACAGTGAGAAGTACAAACAAAGGAAATTAGGGGAACCCAATTGTAATAAGCTGAAAAACCTACTGTGTAATGGCAGCAATATTCAGCTTAGTAAAATCTGTCATTCTCATTCTGAAGAGTTCATCAAAAAGGAACTTCTGTCAGATACCACAAGCCAGTGCATGACAGATGTACAAATTATTTTGGATTCAAATATAACCAAAGACACTAATGTAGATAAAGTACAACTGCAAAACTGCAAATGGTACCAAAAGAGTGCACTTTTGGATAAAGTTACTGATGCTGAAATTAAAAAGGGTTTATTGCACTGTGCTCAAAAGAAAATTGGGCCTGGCCACTCAAATGTGCCTATTAGTTTCTCAGCTGCTGAAAAAGAGGAGGAAGTGAATGCTCGTTTACTTCATTGTGTAAGCAAACAGAAAATGTTACTTAGCCAGGCTAGAAGAACTCAGAAACATTTACAGATGCTTCTGGCAAAGCATGTTGTTAAGCACTATGGTCAACAAATGAAATTTTCTCTGAAACATCAACTCCCTCAAAAGAAGATCTTTCATGAACCTACCACAGTTTTGGATAGCAGTTTACCTAAATGCACTGAAATTAAGCCAGAAGTCAACATGTTGACTGCAGAGAATAAATTGTGGAGTGATACAAAAAATGGCTTTGCACGGTGTACAGCTGCAGAAATCCAAAGATTTGCACTGTCTGCTACAGGGCTGTTGTCTCATGTTGAAGAAGGTCTGGATTCTGATGCAACTGATAGCAGCTCTGATGATGATTTGGATGAATATACCGTTAGAAAAAATGTGGCAGTGTAAGTGCAAAATTATTATTAGACCTTTTACTGTTCTGTATATAGCAGCAGTTTTGTCTTGATTTCATTATACATTAAAAGGAAGTAGATTTTCTAAAATTTTAGTGCCATAATCTTTAAGGTATAAAACTTTGGTGAATTTTTAAAATACTTTGTTAAACTACTGTGTGTGAATGTATACATACTATTTAAAAATAAGTTATTCAACTGCTCTATCTAGGAAAAACCATAAAGGGATAATGAAAACTCTTTAGCTAGAAGTAAGCATTTCTCCCATTCTTAAATAGAATAGGCTATCGACAAGGCTTAACATTTTGCTTAAGTGTTTTAGCCAAAATGTATAGCCAATATTAAAAAAATTTAGTCTGCACATGGGGAGCCCACATTGGCTTAAGGCTTTAGGAGTTATCAGTTGAGAGTATATCTAAGTTGATCGGCTCTTTTTTTTTTTTCCTTTAACTATGGTATTTATATACTCATTGAGTTCATATCTTTCAGCTCTGCTCTTTACCAACTTAGTCAATTTTTGCTAGATTAGTATAACCAAAACAAAATTATAATGTCAGCTATTAGATACCTATTGAATGCTTATTATGTGCTGGATGTTGGGGATTCGGTTGTGGGCAAAATATTCAGTCTCTACTCTCTTGAGAATATACTTCAAACAAAACAAAACAGAGGTAAAGTAGTTTTGTGTATCACATTGTGTTAATACTCCAGAATAGCTTTATCTGATAGAAGTTTTCTGAGATGATAAAAATGTTCTATATCTGTGTTATCAAATAGACTCACGTGTCTATTCAGCCCTTGAAATGTGGCCACTGTCTCTGAGGAACTGAATTTTTAAATTTTATTTAATTTGAATTAAGTTTTTTTAAATAGCCAGATAGAACATAGTTTTTAATCTAGCTTTGGGGAATCTGTTAATGTCCCTAACTTGATGCAAAATACTGTGTATATATTTTGGGAGGAAAAAGTCCATCATTTTTATCAAATTGTCAAAGATGAGTGAGAATTATTACAGAATTAGAAGCTGAACACACTAATTTTTACTAATAAGTAGAAGGTCAGTATATCAATTTCTGTGGTAAAGAATAAAATGTAAAACAAAGTGGGTATTCCAGTCTTTTGGTGTTCTGTTATCACTATGTTTGAAATGTGTTTGAATGTGGGAGCTAATATTGAGCACATATTTTTTTCTGACTGGCATTGTGATATTTACATATGATATATTATTTAATCCTTTCAACAACCATGGGAGGTGATTGTTGTTATCCTTATTTAAGAAGAAATAGTCTTTGCATGGTTAAGTAACTTGCCCATGGTCAAAAAGCCAAATAATTGATGGAGCTAGGATTATTGTCCATGTGTGGAAGACTTCAAACCAATGTTCTTGCTATTGGGCCATGCAACTTTGTCAACCTAGAATTCATTGATGCTTATAGCCACAAGAATTATTAAGCACATGTGCTCTGAAAGAAGTCCAGAAATTTATCAATTTTTATATTTTTAATGCTTTTGAAGAAATTTAATTTAATAAAATTTAGTAGATAAATTTAGTAAATTACTTACCTTTCGTTGTTGTTGAGGACAGCTAATGGGCAGGTTTGACTCTTTTAAGCTAGAGACAAAAATCAGAAAATCATGTATTCCTAGACTATTTTGACCTTCATCAGGATTTTCTTTCATTGATCTCCTATAGTACTTAATCTGCCATACAATTTATCATTAAATCATATTTTGTCCTATGTGACTTGCTAATATACCTATTAGTCTTAATAACCCAACACCTAGTAAGGATGGAAACCACATTTTAAACCTTAAAAAAAAAAATCTTATATACCAAGCATATAATTACTGATTGGTCAAGACATTTTAAGATTTGCATTTACTCCTTGAATTTAGTCAGAGAACACTAATTTTAGACATTTATATAAAACATACACAAATAGGGAGATTCAAACTATTAATATTTTTATACAAAGCATCAAGCAATATTCGTTTCTTGTCAGCTTCACCAGTTTATTGATGAAAATTGAAGTAAAGTAGTCTGGAAAAAAATTGGGTTCAGGCTTTGAAAGTTTCTTTCTCATTCTTTCTTTTTTTTGTAATCAGTTGGAAGGCTCAGGAACACCAGACATGCATTTTAGGAAAATAATGAATCTAATAAGTTTAATATTAAGATATAATATATACTTTTAGCATCTTGCATTATTGACCATTTAATATTAGGTTATTAAAGCTCATATCTATATTCTAGATTCCCAGGTTATACTCATCTGATCAAATCAGTAATACAAAATTCATATAATAATTATTTGAATTCTTTAGTTCATTGAATTATTTGATAATTGTTTAGGTTTTTGTTTTGTTTTTTGCTATTTGAACTCTGCATTTCTTGATTTTATATACCTCCTGCAAAATTGGATATTAACTGTTTTGAATATTTTTACTAATGTGAATAGATTTCTTGTGGAGAAGATTGTTTCTCAACATTTTATTAATTTTGATACTTACCGAATTTTGAGAATAATACAACTTTTAAGTATTTGTATCTTTTGATGTAAATGTAAAAAATGGTTTCTGTTTTTTTAAACTGGAATTAGTTCTGTTTCAGTTTAAGTTCATTCAATAATACATTTATTCTGATACAAGGTTTTAAGTTTATTTTTCTTTACATTTCTGGAAATTGATTTTTCAAATGTAGATGAATATTTTTATTTATCTTAAAGATTTTATTTATTAGAGAGAGAGAGAGCACCAGCAGGAGGAGTGGCAGGCAGGGGAAGAAGCAGGCTCCCTGATGAGTGGGGACCCCGATGTGGGACTCAGTCCCAGGATCCTGGGATCATGACTTGAGTCAGAGGCAGCTGCTTAACCAGCTGAGCCACCCAGGCATCGCTAGATGAATATTTTTAATGAATGAAGTTCAGAATTAAACCTTAAACATAAAATAGGTAAAAATATGCATTTTGTGGACCTAAATTTTTAAGTGAGTGCTAAGACAATTAAATTTTTTTTATACCTACTGAATATGAATAGACTTCTCAATTTAATTATAAGGTCTACAATGGCAAATACTACAGTTGACTTCAACTTAATTTTAAGTAACTTAAGAGCAAATACCACTTTTTCTGTCATTGTATACCCACTGCCTAGCATTGTCTACTTTTTAGTGTTTTTTTTTTTTTTTGGTATATGTTGACTAACTGAATTTTTCTGTATTTGAATATGCAGTTTTGAAGATAAAAAAATTGTGGTTGGCAATCTATGAAATTTCTCTCCATATATGTTTATCTTTTCTTCTTCCGTTCTGTAGTTTATTTTTACTTTATTTCCCCCACTTTCTTCCTTTGTCTCTAGTACTAAACTGGCCACAAGATGTATCTTATAGGGGCTCCTGGGTGGCTCAGTTGGTTAAGCGACTGCCTTCAGCTCAGGTCATGATCCCAGGCTCGTGGGATCGAGCCCCGCATCAGGCTCCCTGCTCAGCGGAGAGCCTGCTTCTCCCTCTCCCTCTGAATGCCACTCTGCCTACTTGTGCTCTCTCTCTGTGTGTCAAATAAATAAATAAAATCTTAAAAAAAAAAAAAAGATGTATCTTCTACACCTTAGAACCAGCATTGAGTATGTATTCAATGAATAAATGAATGAATGAAATACATGACAAAAGATAGACCTTTAAAAGTAACTATTTTATTATAATACTTAACATTTGTAACTTTTAAAAATTGGTAAGTAAAATGTATTATATTTATCTTAAAAATCTTAGATTATATTATTATAAATGCTTTTTTTTAAGTTTAAATCTTTTTTTTTTTAAGATTTTATTTATTTATTTGACAGACAGAGACACAGCGAGAGAGGGAACACAAGCAGGGGGAGTGGGAGAGGGAGAAGCAGGCTTCCTGCTGAGCAGGGAGCCCGATGCAGGGCTCCATCCCAGGACCCTGAGATCATGACCTGAGCCAAAGGCAGACACTTAACAACTGAGCCACCCAGGCGCCCCACCATTGTTATTTTAAATATGTATTTGACTTGCCCCTTTTCCCTCCAAAAATATAGGCAATGGATTAATTCATAATGCCATTACTAATTATCTTAAAGAATAACTTGTGGTTGAGAGACTAGTATACATTAGAAAAAAATTTTTAAAGCCATTTTCCTTTGGAAAGGAAATAGAATTTTAGGGTTTTTGTTGGTTTGAGATAATAATCCTTATACTATAATAAGAACAGAACCACCCCTAGTGTCTGTTCCTTTGGTGAGGCAGCACAGGTTTTGGACCTCCTTGTGTTAGAGTCATGCATGGCTTGCTCTGTGACCCTGAGCAAAGATTAATATTATTATTATTTTTTTAAGATTTTTTATTTTTTTTAAGTAATCTCTATATCCAGTCTGGGCCTTGAACTCACTGGTCTGAGATCAAGAGTCACATGCTCTTCTGACTAAGCAAGCTGGGTGCCCTGAGGTTAATATTATTCTTAAACCTTTGAATCAGATTCCTCTTTGATCTACCTTAAAGAGTTCTGGAGATAATTAGATGAAACATTAAATATAAAGTGTCTGTACATAATAAGGTACTGATTTGAAAGCTAATAAAGAGTGTCTTATCAAGCAGTTTACTATTGTGAGAGACTGGAGCTTAATTATTCCATGAGAAACTTGGGGAGCCAGTGTAAAATACATGCTTGAGTTAATTTGAGAGGTGAGGAAACTGGTGTATTTGTACAGCAGGTCATCAGTTACCAAGTGAAGGCTGTTCTGGTTGTGTCAGATCCCTCACCCTTTTCTTCTGCCACTTGGGTGACAAAGCAGGCTCAAGCAACAACAAAAAAGCCCTGGGTCAAAGAAATGCAGGTGCTGGCATTTGGAAGTCAGGTCTTTGTGTGCTGAACTGGTAAGTGTCAGGGGATATAGGTGGGTCACTGACAGACTCTGCTACAATTATGTTCCCTCTCATCTGGTGGTAAAACCTTAGAGTTCTAACATTTCTTTTC